GCAAGAAGGGGTCTAAACCCCCATCCAAACCCACTACCATTGATTTAGACTCCCAGGGATCTTACATGACAAAGCAAAACTTCCCCATAGTGGTTCCAAGGCTGTACATCAGAAGCAGACTGACATATCTTTTCCCATGGTGCAGCTGGTGAATTCAAACCACCAACCTTTCTGCTAGCAGCCAAGAGCTTAACCACTATGCCACTAGCGTTCCCTTAAGAGGACTAAGAAGGGAGGCAAATGTTGCCAAGAGAATCAAATCCTTTCACCTGGGGCAGCCCTGTGTCTTACCTGAGTTTTGCAGGCTAGGCTTGTCTCAGATGTATAAATCACTGACTGGGGCTGCCCCTTCCTTTGCCTTTGGACACACGGTGTTGGTTTTTTCTGGGAGCAGCTGCTTTTCAGAAATTTCCATCCCACAGCTTCTGTTCTCCACTGTGTCCCCTCAGAACCCTGTCATGATTTTCCTGGATGGATGCCCACAGAATTTTAATCCAGTCACAGGAAAAGAAGAAAAAAAGGTATTATGCATAACAAAAAGTAAAAAACCCAAAAAAACAGGGTTATGGGTTGATTGTTTTGTATTGAATTTAGTGTTTTCAAGGACTTAGAACATAGGAATTGTCGGAATGTCACCATTCTTGCTGCCACCCCAGAGTCATGACTGCAATGGACTTCTCTCAAGGACACAATTGTCCTTGTAATGGGGAGACCTGCATACTGTAAGGGGGCAATGAGGTTCTTGGTAAATATCTGCTTGAATGTTGTTGTTATTGTTAGATGGATGCCATTGAGCCAGCTCTAACCTTAGGTACAACAGAACTTAAATGTTTTCTTTCCCAATATATCAATAAAATAAAATAGATAAATTAAAAAGGTCCCTACCCCAGAAACCCGAGTGGCTTTCCCCAACTTTAAGATGTGCAGTTTTCCAGTTTAAACCTGTGGAAAGATCTCCTGGGAAGCCTGCCAGAAATGCAAATTCTGGGCTCTGCTTTCAGGAGGCCTGAGACCCAAGAAGAGTCCCTGGGTGGTACAGATTGTTAAAGTTTTCAACTGCTAACAGAAAGATTGGATTCTTGGTGTAGCGCTCAGCTCAGCACTAGACTTTGAACCATAAGGTCAGCAGTTCAAACCCACCAGCTGCTCATTGGAAACCCTACGCAGGGTTGCCATGAGTTGGAACCAACTCAACAGCACTTAAAGAACAACAGCAACAACTGAGAGACTGAGGCTACACCCAGAGGCACTGGGAAGAAAGGCCAGGTGTTCTGCTTCTAAAACTCAGCTATTGACAATTCTAGGGAGCACAGTTCTACTCTGAAACACATGAGATTAGACTTTAAACCAGAGTCCACTTGAGAGCAACTGAGACCTAAGAATCTGCATTTTATGCACTCCACTTCAGTTTGATACGGGAGACTGAGACTCCCAAGAAAAACCCAGGGCTAGAAATAACTAAATAATGATCAGAAACAAGAATTTCATGTTCCCATTTCTATCTCATGTTTTGGGGTTCCTAACATGTCTTAAGGAGCTCTGGTAGCTTAGTGGTTACGGTTCGGGCTGCTGACCTCAAGGTCGGCAGTTTGGAACTACCAGCTGTTCTGTGGAAGAGAGAGGAGGCTTTCTGCTCCTGTAAAGATTTACAGCCTCGGAAACCCTGTGCAGGGTTGCTAAGAGTGAGAACCTACTCCATGGTACTTAACAATAACAACATAACATGTCTTGGAAGAAGTACCACCAGAATGTTCCCTAGAAGTGAGGATGGTGACTTTAGACATGCTGTCAGGAGGGACTAGTCCCTGGAGAAGGACATCATGCTTGGAAAAGTGGAGGGACAGTGGAAAAAGAGGAAGACCCCAATGAAACGGACTGACACAGTGGCAGTAACCATGGGCTCAAACCTAACAACCATTGTTAGGATGATGCAAGTCTGGGCAGTGTTTCCTTTTGTTGTACTTAAAGTATCTAAGAGAACTAACTCTTTGGGCACTTAAAGCAACAACAACAATTCATACGAATATTTCCCCCAAAAGTTTAGATAGAATTGATAAAAATGTCTGCCTGATCATCAGGATTCCTGGCACATTACTATGTCTCTCCGAAGCTTCCAGTAAAACTCAGAACAGAGATGCTTTCTTGGAACTGACAAGGGGCAGAGTTCAGTGAGGATGGAAAAGAAGAGCATGAAGTCAGACTGAGCTCGGATTGCGCCGATGTGTGGCTTGGGCTAGTTGTTGCGCCTTTTTTGAGTCTCCGACGGCCCCCCCCCCCCCCCCCCACACACACACAATTTGTAAAATGGTAATGTATTTCCTTCTTTGGCCGAGGGACTAAAAAAAACAAACGAGTTCATGAACCCGGTGAATGGCTTTTCAATAAACAATTTCCACTTACAACAAATTTTTAAAATGTTATCCCATCCCAGGGATCTCCGACGCCCAACTTCACATCAGCTTTTGGGATTTGGCCACATTTCGGCGTCCCTTGTTAGTGTCCCGTGAAGCAGCACCGCGGACCCCCACCCCCACCCCCGGGCCCCCACTGTCCCACTGAGTACGTCCTTTGTAAAGGCGACAGTTGGCTTCCAGGTTGCCTGCCTCTACCTAAGAGAAAAGTGGGCAAGGATTGGGCCATTTTTATCTTGAAAAAGACTACCCTCTCGGCCTTTGACCGGGCACTGCGGGTGTCATCGTGGGTTTGGCGGGCCACAGAAGCCTTCAGCAAGGTGGTGGTCACATGACCAGATGGGCCAGGCCCCAGGGGTGCGAGGGGCGGAGCAGACAGAGTTACCCCAAGACTTCTGGGTCTCTCCGCCTCCCGCGGACCTCCGGGACAGGGGGTGGGAAGGAGATCCCACAGCTTCCTGCGCGGGACCAGCTTGGAAGGCCAGGGCAGGTCGTTTGTCCGAATGCCCTGCTGACACGCAGAGCCTACCTCCTTCTTCTGCAACCCCCATCCCGCACAGCGGCCTCGGCCAAACTCTGCGGGGAAACAAAGCCTCCCATGCCCCACAGGGACCCCATCGGAGGGAGTGGAGTTCCAGGGACCGGCGCGGACGACGCAGCACTGGGAGCCCTGGCGTGTGGCGGCGCCTCCAGACGGCTGGGTCCGCGTGGGCGCATAAGCACGAGGCCTCGGGTGCCGCAGCGGGGCGTCTGCGCGTCGCGGGAAGGGACCTGAGAGGTGGCGGGTTGTGTCCGAGCCCAGTGCGTTTTTGGGAGCCGGGGTCCGTAAGCCTTCTCCCACCCCAGCCGCCGGGAAAGCGGGGACTCCGGGACGCTGTCCACCGGTGCACCCAGGGCCGTGGATGCTGCTGAGAGCACCGATGACCCGCTGGTCCTGAGAGCAACTCGGAACCTCCCCCCCGCCCCCCCAGTAAAATAAAGTAAAAGCCCGAAGTCCCCCGGCGCCAGGTGGAGTGGGGGGGGGGCAAAGGACGTCGCTGGCGCAGCCCCTCCTTTCCTAGCGGCTCGGTGGGGTCCGGCGGGGTGACCGGGAGGCGGGGAAGGTAGCGGCGGGACAGAGGGGCGGGCGGGGCGCGCTCAGGGCCGCCACACACACTCGTGCCCCCTCCCTCCCCGCGACCCCCGCCCTAGCCCCCTCCCCTCCCCCGCCCGCCTCCGCCCCCATTCTTGGAATTGTGTGGAAAAATTCTCAGCCAAACCTCCCACCTCTCCTCTCCTCCCCGCTCCCTTTAAAAAACCCCCTTTCGTCCGGCCCCTGCACTCTTTGTGAATGAGGGCAGGGACACGGCCCTTCCCCCGCCCAGGAGCCACGCCAGCCCGCCGCACTCAGAGGACTGTTTGTTAATAGTCCAATTAGATAATTGCCATCTTTCACTCCTTTTGCTCCGCATTTCCCATAAAGGAATGAATGGGGAGAACGGCGTGGAGAGGGCTTCTGCCCCGGCAAGGTGACGAGAAGGGTTGGAGCATGCTCCTTGCACAAGGCCAAGCGCTTGAATTGAATCATTGTAGCCTAATCAATGCTCTTATTGGATTACTGGCTGTTGCTTTCTTTTCTCAAAGATATTGTAGCAGAGACAATGAAATAGCTAGGGGAAAACTTTTTTTTTTTTTTTTTTTTGAAGCAGATCTCACAGTTGAGATTTTCTCGGCTCTCTCTCTCTCCCTCTCTCTTCCTCTCTCCCCCCCACCCCCCCCCTCGGTGGACTCTGAGCACAAAGCTGCCCTTTGAATGGGCTGCTCAGGCAGGCTGCTGAAGGTACAGGAATGAAAAAATCCAAAGGGAATTAAAGGAAGAGAGGTAGCAGTTTAAGATGGCTGTCAGCGGCGAGGTGTGTTAAGGAGGAGTTTTGGGGGCGCAGGCTCAACTCGTTGAGTGTAGGGGAGACACTTTTGGGGGTAAAACTTTTTCTCCGTTAACGGCATTCTTCGGCTTCCGGGTGTGTAAGGTGGTGGTTGTGTTGTGTTTTTCGCCTTCCCTCCTCCCCCTCATTCAGCTCTATCTGGCGAGTGTTGAGGATACCCCTCTAGCCAGTATGTGAGCAGGAGGGTCAAAGGCAAAGGGAAAGTTAATAGTGCCTGCTAATGGTACTACCAATTCAGGATGAATCTTGTCAAAAGTTTTTCTGGAAGTGTGGGTCTTTGATTGTGTGTTTCCTGAAAGCAAGACCAATCATTTTCGTTTATTCACTGGCTAAACCCCTACTTGATTGGGGACAAGGACAGAAAGCATCCATTACGATCTGATATATTATCCAAACAATTTAGTGTATTCATGAGGTAACCGAAACGTGGGGGCTGCGAAATTACCCGTAATCAATTGCAACAGCGAGTGTGCGTCCCCCCGGGTGTCGGACAGCTACAACACGCCGGCTCAGTGACGGGCGGGCGCCGCAGCACTGGGGAGTTGCGCTGCTCACTACCTGATCGCCAGGCTGCTCTCCAGCCTGGGGGACACTGGACGTGCTCAGAGGACACGGACGCTGACGAGGCGGCCTCGCCGAGGCTCCACCGGGATCCTGGACCAGACCGGCCACCTTTCGGCGAGCGCGCCACTCGCCGGTCGCCGCTGACCCTCCCGGGCCGCCGCAGCCGCCCCGCGGGGACATTCATTCTTGCCGCTTGCCTCTCGCTGGGCCCGGCGTGGGGGCTGCATTGTGGGGGTTTGTCCCCTACTCGGCTTCTTTTTCTTTCTTTCTTTTCTGTCCTCCTTTTTCTTTTCCTTTTGGTCTTTTTCTTTTCTTTTCTTTTTGTTTTCTTGCCTCTCCTATGTTCGGGAAACCAGACAAAATGGACGTTCGGTGCCACTCGGACGCCGAGGCTGCCCGGGTCTCCAAGAGCACGCACAAGGAGAGCCGGGAGAGCAAAGGCGCCGAGGGGAGCCTCTCCGCCGCCTTCCTCAAGGAGCCGCAGGGCGCTTTTTCCGCGTCTGGCGCCGCGGAAGATTGCAACAAAAGTAAAGCCAATTCGGCTGCCGACCCAGATTACTGCCGCCGGATCCTGGTCCGAGGTAGGGATGGACAAGGCTGCGGGAGCCTTCTTGGGGACGACTCTGGGGCCCGAGTGCCCGCTGCCGCCGCCGCCTCCAGCCAGCGGGACGGGCGGCCGCCGGGGACTTGGGAGAAAGTTGCTGCCCTCGGCGCCCAGGGCCCC